AAATTTTTCCTTGGTGGCATGTTTACATCACCCACCTCAAGCCATTTTTTTTCATGACAAGATAGTCACATCCCCAGATCATAGTATAACGATATGATGCCTGTTCTACGGATAAGTAGAACTTATGTGGGTTTATGTACATTATTTCATTTAGATTGAAAAAACATGATTTTCCTAAAATATAATGCAGATGGTGTTCTCTAAGGAGAAAATGTAATTATATATCAGGATATTTTTTTAAGAATGGCAAGTTCCTCAACATTAATTTTTGTTGCATTTTCTGCTGTATTTTTTTAGAGCAACAACTGGTAAAAGTTCTGTATTTCAGGTAAGGCAATCAGTGGAAGACACATTCCATGATTACAGCCTCTGGCATAAGGAGCTCAAGGAAATAGAAGGAATGTTTGGCACAGGTGTTGGTTCCTACTTCAGGTTTTTACGCTATCTCTTCATCCTGAACTTCGTCATCACTGTTTTAGTGTAAGCCCTTAACTCGTTGGTGCTAGGCACTGTCATGATTTAGAATTTTTGAACCCTCTCCCTCTCCTACCCCTTGCACCATCTGTGCAATGGGTTATGCAAGGTAGAATGGTTGGCTGAGAAGGGTTGGTGAAGAGGAGCAATGGGGTGAATATCTCACCCAGGGTCTGACCTCTTAATTTCCTTGTGTATACAACTTTAGATTGTGATTGATGGGTAATCATGATGTTATAACATAAAACCATTATACCAGGTATCAGTGTCACATTCAAGCGTATAATTATAGCAATGACAAAGTATGGGAAGAAATCCTGCATCACATGAACATATGCACAATTTATATGCATTCTGAACATTTATGCCTTCTTATTATCACTGACATTCAAGGAAATTAGACCAAATGTCAGCATGGTGGTTGGAAAGGGTTCCTTTGTTGTGCAGTATGCAGATAGACAATAAACTTGTTCTTAACAGTATTCATAACAGATTTACATAAGAGCATTTTTTCAGCGTGCATATAGTTTATATATCTTAATGAATAAACCGCATTATTATGAGCAGTAGCTGGGTCATTATACCAGTGACACAGCTGGTCATTGATATAATCTTGTGATTGAGTGTGAAATTGATTATGATTATAACTGTAAGGTTAGTAGGGATCTTGGGCTACACTTTGAGCTAAGCCACTTGTTACTTTAGTCAATAGGTTATTTCTAATTCAGCAGATTGGCAGCATGATAGTGAGAGGGTCAAATATGCACAGAATACAAATAATTTTTTGTTGAGAACAATCACAAAATTGGCAACTTTTATATAAAGAACCTGGCTCAATGCTAAGTGGCTAGTAGCCATATCACAGGTAGATGAGTCTTCTCTAAGTTTTGTGCTCTAAAACTGATGCTCTGTCAAGGCTACACTAAAGGGTACTTACTGAAATGCTTGATCAAAGCAACTCAAATTATAGGAGGTACATGCCACCCTGCTAACTTCATTTTAGGCATTTGACTTTTAGAATAATGGACAATTGATCTTGTTTCCAAAACTGTTGTAACCAAAAACTGGGGATTATTTTATTATTACCCTCTTTAACTGAGAAACTGTTTTTGTCTCAACTTTTGATGGAATTCATACCAATACATTTCCCCCCCTTCTAGGTGTGGGTTCCTATTAACACCACAGTTGTTGCAAAGAATGAACTCAAAAGGAATGGATTCTGCCACTGGAAACAGTAAGTAACACCTTCTTTTGTCAGTGTTTCTCTTTTTTTTTTCAATATCGAAAAGGAATTTCAACCCATTTTTCTTATGAAAGATTTCTGTGTAGACCTATCAAGATAGGAAGTGCTCCAATAATTACGATTATGATTTGTTCAAACTATCAGTATGAAATTGAATATGGAAGAACTTGAAAAATATTTAACATTTTGTTATTTGTGTCATTCAATTTTTTTTTTATCAAAATAAATGTAAAAGCCCCTTTCTTATTGCCCATTGAGTCTAATCACCCTCCAAGAGCTTTGTGCACTTGTAATGAGTCTTTGCCATCACCCTAACCTTCAGCCAAAATGTTCACGATGGCAACTTTGTGTCACCTGGCCCATAGCCATATTTCCTCATAACAGCATATTCATTTGCCCCTCAAGCCAAATTTTTTCGCGACATAATGGTCACATCAGCTGGATTGTGGGGGTTAAAAGTTACCAAACTCCCTAAACTCTGTGGTCATCATCATGGCCAAAAAAGGTTGGGAAAGTGTCCCTAAAGGTATTTAGCCTATATTTAGCCTATGCACAGCCTCTTGGGGTCAGCGAGTGGTTTAGGGAACATAGTCTTAGCTAGTCTTTCTGCTTCATAGTATTTACTCTGGATAATAGCATTAGCCTGATACTACTGGGTCATACTGGCTAATACTTTTGAGTATTAATCAGGGAGAGGAAAAAAGTTTTTTGAAAGTTTATTGTAAACATTTTTACTAATTTTATTCATTGATTACATATGATATTCAATATATTTAAAAAGGT